TATACATGAGAAGAAATGAACACAAAACAAGCCTGGACTGCCCACAGGCAACATGGTGAGGTCAAGCCTCACCCCTGCCTTAGTGAGTTCTTTCTGGCCCCAGGTCTTTCTTCCCTTTTCTGAATGTCAGGTTCATCCCTCTCTGAAAGCTGCTGCACTCTTTCTTTTTTTTAAACATTTACTTACTTATTATGTGTGCAGTGTCCTGCCTGCATGTCTGCCTGCAGGACAGAAGAGGGCACCAGATCTCATTACAGATGGTTGTGAGCCCCCAAGTGGGTGCTGGGAATTGAATTCAGGACCTCTGGGAGAGTAGCCAGTGTTCTCCACCTCTGAGCCATCCCTCCAGCCATCAATGCTGCGCTTTCCAAAGGTGCCCTCTCCACATCTCTGCGAAAGGACTTAGAGAACACTGGCTAGATCCAGAGAAGGAAGAAAGCAAGAAGGACCATGAGGAGGAAACTGGATGGCTTGGTTGGGTTCAGTGAACCTCTGCAGCAGGTGACCGGCTCCCGTGACACCCATCTCTAGTTTTCTATGCTTAGGTTTTATAATTCCAAGAGCAGAGTTAGCTGTTGTTCTGGTCTCCTGAAACAAATTTCTCTGTTTATGGACACTTGGGTTGATTCCATAACTTGACTATTGTGAATAATGCTGTAAAAACCATGATTGTGCAGATATCTCAATGATATGCAGACTTTGATTCCTTCTGGCAGATGCCAATGGGTGGGTGTTATAGCTGAATTATACGGTTGTTCTAGTTTTAGTTTTTTGAGGAACATCATGATTTCCATAGTAGCTGGACTAATTTACATTCCCACCAACAGTATGTAAGCTTTCTTTTCCCCTTCAATGTTCACCTGCATTTGTTTTCTTTTCGAATTTGACGATAAGTGAGTAGGGTGCATTTTTTCCACAGCCTGTGGAGGTTTGTGGAGTTGGTTCTCTCCTTCTATGCTTACAAGGGTTCTGGGGACCAAACTCAAGTCATGAGGCTGGTGCAGTAACTGCTTTGACCCCCTCATCAAAGACTTCTACCCATTGAGTCATCTGGCCAGCTCATTGTCTTTATGATAGACATTATGACTGGCACGAGTTAGAATTTCAGTGCCATTTTGTTTTGATTTCCATGATGGTTAAGGATGGTGAGAACTTTTATATGAAGAAAAAAGTAAACACCAATAGAACAAATAACCCAATCAATAAATGGGCAAATGAATTGGACTCTGTTCTCAAAAGAGAAAGTGTAAGTGGTTAACAATTAGTTTTTTTTTATTGTGGAAATTAAGAAACTGCATTGGTGTTACTAGAGGAGAATGTTAAGCAACCACCAAGCTATATGCCCTTTGGTCTACATGGGGACCTGCCTCCATGTTGTGCTGGTGCAGTAATGGTACGGGGATTGTGGGAGCAGCAGCCACTCTGTGACTGGGCTTAAGGCCCACTCCAGAAGAAAGAACCCCCGTTTGACACTGGGCAGCTAAGAACCTGAAACAAGACAGGCCATGGACATAGGGAAAAAGCAAATACTATCGTTCTGTTAGAGGACTGTAGCAATATACCGACTATTATCGACTTTCTGCTATACCCATAGATCAGTGTCTAGCTCAGCCATCATCAAAGAAGCTTCCTCCTGCAGGAGATGGGAACAAAAATTAGTTTTCTTCAATAGAGTCTTACTAGGTATACAAACCCACACTTAAGGCAGGCCCCATGCTCAATAGTATACGGCCATACTAAACAAACTCAGTGGTATTTTTGTAGATTTGTTTTGTCTCATAATGCTCTGCCTTGGCATTTTTAACTTACTGGCCTTTACTTATATATTATGTGTTTTCCAATTTTGTGTTTTCATGATCTTTCTGTGTGTGTGTGTGTGTGTGTGTGTGTGTGCGCGCGCGCGCGCGCGCGCGTGTGTGCTCTTTCTTGCATTTTCTGATTGTTTTGTTCTGTTCTGCTTTGTTTTTTATTTGCCTGTTTGTTTTCCAAAGAGAGTGAGAGAGAAGACTGAGTTGAATGGGTGGGAGTAGGGATTAGATCTAAGAAGAGATCAGGAAGGGGAAACTGTGATTGTATGAAAAAACTACATGTTCAGTTAAAAAACGAAACAGGAAGAAAGTGCACTGAGGGCCTGGAGTATGAAACGCACAATCTGAAGGCGTGGGTACCTGCACCAGTCTCCCGTTATTTTCAAGATCGGATACCCGCTCCAAGCCAGGAATGGTCATGAGTGTGGCCAAAGCCTGAGGTGGTCCCCTGGTTAATGAACTGATCTTTTCGAGCTCAGTCCCAACAATTAACTCTGCTCTGGAAAAATTAGAGCCTAAGATAGGAAACTAGAGACTGGGGTGAGGGTAGAGCTTGTCACTTGCTGTGGAAGTCCACAGACTGCTCCGTTTCTCCCTTCCCACACTTGTTCGCTCATGTCTTTCCTTAGAGGTTACTAAGTAGTCTGTAAGTACAGCCGTTAGCTGCAGTTGGGTTCTGTAATTTGCAATCTACAAGGCCTCCAAAGGAACCCTATCTTAATTACTTTAATCAGCTGTTACCTGATTCAATGATCATTGGCTACCCCAGAGCATCTATGAAATCCAAACTCAGCATTCATGTTGGTCCATGTGGGACAGCTTAATGTGTACATGTGTGTGCATCCTTTCGTACTTTCTGCAGCAGCCTCCAGGCTGGATCCCTGCTCTTCCTCAGTGTTTGCTCACAGTTCATTTTTCCACCTGCTCACAGCTTTTGTGAGAGAACTGGGAACTCTCTCTGTATATACAGTAGGGCCCTGTGCATGCGAAACCAGTAAATTTGATCCCTAAAAAGGCATCTTCTCTCTCCAAGGAGGGGCTAATGTCTATGTCTTTCCTTCATTTTCTTCTTTTTCATTGTCCCCAGTGACCCTAACCACCAGAGCAAGGGTTTGGCCTTATAGATTCCTTTGATAAGAGCAACAGACATTGTCCTAAGGAGGAAAAATGAAGACACGTGCACACAAGATTATGCATACAACCCAGGTTCTTGAGATTCTGATTAATAACCACATCCCCAGCTGTATTAGTCCAGTTCGGGTCATTACAACAAAATACCCAAGCAAGCTAACTATACAAAAATGATTATTTGGCCCATCTTAGCTGTGTCATATCATGCCAAGTATGTAGGTAAAGGAGGGAAGTCACACAGTAAAGGTCAAAGAGGTTGGGGGATGGGGTCCCACAGTCTCTACCAACTGTGTACCCCCATGACCTACGACCTCCCCTAGTCTCCATCGTTATAGTCTGTACCACACGCCACCACCACAAAAGATCAAGGTACCAACACCTGAACCATTAGCAGTTGGGTAGGAGCAACATCTAAACTATGCCAGCATCTGTCTACCATGTCCTACACCACCACTGATCCCCTCCTTCCACTAGCAATGACTCTCCCACACCTCTGCTGCCAGAACATGACAGAACAAACCGAGTTTCTCCCTCCTGAGGGTTATTAGCCTTATGAGAACAAACAACAGAAACTAACACCCCCTCCCCAAGCACTTAGAGGCAGTCACACTTAGAAGTCATTAACTGCATCCCCATTAGAATAACCCCAAGACAAACACTTATAATTTCCTACATTACAGTTTACCTCACAGAAGCTGCATTTTAAATGGTTTTCTTGCAAGGGAGACATTCTTATGCACTAGCACAGATTACAAAACAGCCAAATCCTATCAGCAACAGACTTTGCAAGAATTTCTTAGGTGGGTTATTTCCTGGGAAGATTATCATAGTGATTAATCTCATCTACTTTTTGTTGTCAATTTCAGTAGGTGACATTTTTGGCTTTGTTCCCAGATTCCAGGGACTGCTGTTTGAAACCTGCAGTTTCTTATAGACCATCTCTACCTTCTAATTAGAAAAGAGTTTTGAAAATGCTGGAAACTTCAGGAAAGCCTTCTCCAGGATAAATCAGAAAAGAAAGACTAAGGAGCAGAAAGGTGGAAGGAAAATTAGGTAGAAGAGAAAGAAAAAAAATAAGACTGCATGCAGATCAGAAAATGGACAGAATTTTTTTTTAAACCAGTGCCTTTAGCTTTGGGTCAGGCAGTTATTTCCTCTGACCTTTTTTATTTTTGGCAACAAGTAACATATAACTTTAAAAACAGTTATTTTGGTCATTGAATTAAATGAAAGGAACCATGAAAATCACAGAAGCTCACACACACACACACACACACACACGCATGCACTCACGCACACGTGCACAGCATGCACACCAATTATCCTCAGGAGCTAATCTGCTTTGAAAGAAACAAAAGCCCAATTTAATATAATAGTACATTAAAAGTATTACTTACCCAGTCTTACAACTCCTTTTTTTCTTTAATAGCTAACCTCTCCACATGAGCTCAATTTTCATAACTCAGGCTTGTGAATTGGGCCTTGAAAAATGGGTGGCACCCAGTCTGAAAGCCAGGAGATAGGGAAGCCCTCGTGGCAGAGAAATAGCACAAGTGAGCTGCCCACTGGGGTCGTTTCAGACAACTGCATTATGTGGTGAGCTGGAGTGAGGCTGAGTGGGGGGAATTGGTCCAAGACAGAAGGTGCCAAGGCATTTGGATTTCCTGCGGGTCACGAAGCCGCCTAGGATGCTTTCATCAGAATGGTGACAGGAGCAGATGTGCCTTCGACAGCAGACTGTGGCAGCGGTGGGGAGGATAAATGGGGGGTGGGATGAAGGACAAGAGAAATAGAAAGCAAGACCAGTCAGAGCTATCGACTGCTGAGGAGAGATAATGAGGGCTGCACTGGAGAACTGGCAACGGCCATGGCGAGACGCCAGCAGGCTCTGGGGACATTAAAGGATAGAGCTGACAGAATCTAGTGACTGATTAGATAGGGACGGGTAGTAAGAGAAGGAACAGGAAGTGATTATAAACTCCTACCTTGGAAAACTAGGCAGACACCAATGGCATTTAGAAATGACAGGCAGTAAGAAAGTGCCTTCTTTCCTTTTCACAGCTGCCACCGCGGACACCGCTCAAAGGACTCAACTGTCCTCAGCTCCCTTGACAAACTCTTGTATAACTCAATTCAACAACCCTGGGAGTAGGTGGAACACCCACTCACTCAGTGATGTTGGCTACTCGTGTCCATCTTTGCTTGGGTCTGTGAAACCCCTGGAAAATAGCAGCAGTAAGAAATAATCAAATGGGGGGAGGGCACGGGAGGAGGGGAGGGAAAGGGAGAGGGACCTGGAACTGACTTGTGAAGCAACCTTGTTTCTAATCTAAATTTAAACTTAAAAATAAATAATAAAAAAAAGAAATAACCCAAGTCCCTACCGAGCTCATGGCCTAGCTGGCACAGTCACACATTGAAAGGACAGTACAAGACGGCTTGCACTGTAAAACAACAGTGCCGTACCAGAGAAAGCTCTGCAAAGGTCACCCTTAAGTGAAACGTGAGCTGGTGAGAGACACAGAAGGGCATTTAACCACAGGGACAGCAGTGCTGTAGAAGCGTGAAGAGGTAGTAAAATTCAGTGAGGAGGTTGGGATGAGGCAGAGGAAGCAAGAACGAGATGATCATAAAAGGCCATGTGAAGAGCACTGGCTTAATTGGCAGAACGCTCCCCTGGCATTCACAGAGCCCTGGGTTCAGTCATCACCAGGCATAAACCTGGCATGTGCCACATATCTATAATCCCAGCACTCAAAAGGCGGGGAGGAACAGGAATCAAGATGGCCAAGCTGAGCTACATGAGGCTGCCTCAGAAAGTGTTTTTTAAACGTCTTGTTTACAGGACTGGAGAGATGGCTCAGTAGCTAAGAGTACTGGCTGCTCTTCCAAAGGATCCAAGTTCAATTCCCAGCACCCACATGACAACTCATAACTGTCTATAACTCCAGTTGCAGGGGATCTGACACCTTCATACCAATGCATATAAAAATGAAGTTAAATAAATTATATTTTAAAAGGTCATGTCTACTTTTTACAGGTATTTCTTAAATAGGGTTTTGATGGGGGAAGTCCTGTGTATATGTCAATAAAGCACTGTTGGCCAATAGGGAAGCAAGATAGGTAGGACTAGGAGTCGAGCAGAACTCTGGGAAGGAGAAACACAGGGAGTCACGTGTAGCTCGCCAGAGAAGTAAGATGTCCGGAACTCTTCTCCAGTAAGAGAAATACTTAGCTTAATTAACAATTACGGGATAAATACTTAAGTCAGAGCTAGCCAGTAAGAAACAAGCAAGGCCAACAGCTTCATAATTAATACAGCGTCTTGTGTGTTATTTGGGGACTACAACATGTCGGAGCCCAGGCGACTGGTGGAGAAAAACCAAAGCGGAAGGAAAAGGCTTCCCTCTCTACAGGGTTTCTATTGCTGTGAAGATGCCATGACCATGGCAACTCTTATAAAGGAAAACGTTTAATTGTGGTGGTTGGCTCAGTTTCAGGGGTTTAGCCCACTATCGTCAGACAGCATGCAGGCAGACATGGTGCCAGAGCTGAGAGATCTTATATCCTGATCCAAAGGCAGCAGGAAGTTGAACTGAACCACTAAGTGTGGCTTGAGCATGTATGAGACCTCAAAGTCTACCTCCATGGTGACACACTTCCTCCAACAAAGCCACACCTCCTAGTAGGGCCACACCTTTATGCGCTTATGGGAGTTAATTACATTCAGACACAGGTATATGTAATTCTTGAGCACCTTTAAGCAGAAAGGGGTTCTTTGTTTGAGCCACTGGTATTTAGCCAGTATTAAAGGAAAGCAGGTAACATCTCACTACCTATCTATCCCAGGTTCTACACCAGCCTCATCCAGACCGAGGGCGGGTGAACTGTGCACACTTTTTATCCCAGCCATGGAATTGTGAGCCCAAACACCTTTCCATCAGTCGCCCGTGTCTATGAATTCCTTAAAGGCAGATCCGTCATTTTCCCCATCTTTATTTCCTGAGTCTATGTGAATACGTAACCAAATTTGGCACCTACTGTCTGTCCACTGTATGAATGATCACTGAACAGTTTCTTTCCTGCACTTCCAGCCTTCTAGAACCCAGTGGATCATCTTCTGTTCACCATAGATAATGCTCACCAGAGGAAGGGGGAAGTCCCAGGAGATCGTGGTTCTAGTCCTACTCAGTGCACTGTCTTGGACATTGAACAAAGCATGCACTTTTAGTAGTTTATTACTTCATTTATTGAGGGCATGTATGCTGCAGTGCATGTGTGGAGGTCAGTTCTCTTTCACAAACCAGTTCTTTGTGGTGTATGGGTCCTGGGGCTCAAACTCTGGTAAATGAATGGTATTTACTACACACATGAACGTTTCCTCTGCAATCGGCCATCTTCATGTGGCGTTAAGAGAAACTTGCAAAGTAATTTTAAAAATTAAAGAGCTAGAATCAGAAATGCTGGGTCCAACTCTGGCCTTCCATTAACCAGTTCTTTACTTTTAGAAAGTCACTTTTATCTGAGTAGAAATTTTTAATCTGTAAAACAGACATAGGATCATCCTCTACCCAAGTCCCTGCCCACCCTCATTTTAAGAACACAGTATTTTTATGGAACCTAATGGGTCTCACATAACATTTTATTAGTAGACTACATTTTTTATTTATTTAAATTAGAAACAAGCTTGCTTCACATGTAAATCCCAGCTCCCTCTCCCTCCCCACCCCCCCACCAGGCCCTCCAGCCCCCCACCCAATCCCCACGGAAGGTGAGGCCCTCCATGGAGGATCTCCAGAGTCTGTCATGACATTCAGGGAAGGGTCTAGACCCTCCCCCAAGAGTCCAGGCTGAGATAGCATCCCTCATTGTGAGATGGGCACCCAAGTCCATTTGTATGCCAGGGATAAATACTGATCTACTACCCAAGGCCCCATAGATTGCCTAGACCACCTCACTGACACCCACATTCAGGGGGTCTGGACCAGTCCCATGCTGGCCTCCCAGCCATAGGATACATTTCTAATGTTACTGGTAACTCTTCAAAAGCAGACTATTTGACTCATTATTACCACATTTGACGCATGGCCAAGATCTATAAATAACTGCCAAAAGAATGGAGAGCAAAGAAGGTTAAAATTTTCCTTTGTGGAATGAACTGAACTTCAAATATTCATGCTCCAAATTATTTTAAATAGTCACTGTAAGTGTCATTTCATTTTAGATAGCAGACATAGCAATTAGCAGAGTGTCTGCACAGCTAGAAACATTACCATTTAGTCTGGCTTTTATTCAGGATGATGAATATGAATGCGTTTTGACTAAATGAATAGAGCAACGCTGAATACATGTTCATGCTATTGTGATGCTTCTGACCCGGGAGAAGACATGTGCGTCCATCTCCAGAACACTACTTTTGAATGACTCTCCCCACCCCCACCCCCACCCCAACAGAGAAAGTGCTATGTGAACTGAAGGCAAACGCCAAACCTCCACAGACAGTGCTGGGGGGTGGTGGCACTCACCTTTAATCCCAGCACTCAGGAGACAGAGATAGGAAGATCTCTGAGTTCAAGGCCAGCCTGGTCTACAGAGTGAGTTCCTGGGCAGCCAGAACTACATGGGAAGACCCTGTCTTGAAAAACCACAACAACAACAACAACAAAAATCAGTTAATGTATGATGGGGATACAGAAATGTAGATCTATCCAGACATTTGAAGGATCTGTTATTTTGTACATATAACTTACTAGGTCAAGATGGAAAGTTTATAAAAAACAGGAAGTCAAATAATCTTTATATAAATCCAAGCTCCTTAGATGTACACTTGAAACACACACACACACACACACACACACACACACACACACAATACCATAAAAACCAGCTATACCACGACCAAGTACACCCAAAATAGAAAAATGAAATCATGGCATTTGCAAGAAAAGGGTAGAACTGGGAATTGTTTTCTCTAAGGCAGATCCTAGATTTTAATTATTATGCATGTGAGTGGGTGGAGACAGGTCATGAAAAAGGAAGGGGACCATAATGGAGGGGAGAAGCTTAAAGTAAGGTTCTGAGGGAGAAAAAGAAAGCAGTAGTAATGTGGCATGAGGCCCAGTGTTTGGGAAGCAGGGGCAGGTGATCTCTGAGGGTTCAAGAACAGCCCGGGTCTACATAGTAATCCCAGGACAGCCAGAGCTACATAATGAGACTGTTTCAACACACCAAAAAATTAAAAAGAGATGGGACACGAAGGTGGAAGGGCTACTGGGGGGAAGGAGACAGCAGCAGAGGGCGGGGGAGAAAGACCCACAAAAGCATGGGAATAGCATAATGAAACTCATTTCTTTGATGTATATTTGAAGGGAGAGAGAGAGAGAGAGAGAGAGAGAGAGAGAGAGAGAGAGAGAGAGAGAGAGAGAGAGAGAGAGTCAGATCTACCCCTTACACAAATACACAACAGGAAGGTCAAACTGATTGGCAAAACACCTGCCACAGTTAAGTGTTGAGTCCCATTTATTTTGCAGAAATCATCAGCTGGGTCTATGCACTCTGAAAAATCTAAAACAGTGAAAAGGGCACGTTATTTCAGTCGGAAGAAGTCACTTAAATTCTAGTTGTCATTTACTACCAAGTCATTTAATCTTTAAAACACTTTGCTCATCTAAGTACAAACACCAAACCTGAAGTGTTGCTGTAAAAATTAAGCTGTGGCAGAGTAATACCCTAAATTGATTAACCATGAAAAACCATCATGATACAAAAATCAATTAAGTAATTATTGTCACTGAGTAAGGAAAGAGTGGATATTAAGATTCCCAAGATGTATTTCCTCTCATCTCTGAAGCTTCCCATAAAATACAAGGATGTTAAATTTGTTTTCTAGTCAAGTAGTTGTGGTGCATGCCTTTAATCCCAAGCAGATCTCTGAGTTTGAGGCCAGTCTGGTCTACAGAGTGAGTTCCAGGACAGCCAGGGCAACACAGAGAAACCCTGGGTGGGCGGAGGAGAGGGGATTTGATGTTACTTAATTGCCAATTCTGTTTTTGACAAGGAACAGTAATAATTATATGCCTAACGTTTAAAGGGGGGGGCAGGTATGGTGACATTTACTTAGAATCTCAGTGCTGTCAAAGCAGGGACAGGCAGATCTTAGGGCTTGCTGACCATCAACCTAGCCAACAGCTCCAAAAATAAAAATACAATAAAGTGGATAGTGCTTGGGGAATGATACCCAAGGCTGATGCACACTTGCACGCATACATACACACACACACACACACACACACACACACACACACACACGTAATAAAGCATGAGGGAAATAACAAGAGATTTCATTTAAAGACCACCACAAGTAGAATTTTTCATATTTTTCTTTTCTACTCATAACTTACACCACAGATTGCAAGAGAGTCCATAACACCTGATGTTAAAAATATAAATATTCAGCCATAAATTAACTAAAGGACAAGTTTTATACAACTTATGAAACATCATCACATCACGTATGAAATCTGGATGGTGAGACGTCAGTAACTACGATCTATAGTTTAAGAATCCTTTTGCTGAGCTGGCCAGTAGTGGATGATTATCACAGCTTTTCCAAAGAAACTAATCCAAATAACCAGCACCTGCTAGTCCTAGTACTTGGAGGTAGAGTCAAGAGGTTAATGAGTTCAAAGTCAAGCCTCTGTTACAAAGCAACTTTGAGGTCAGCCTGGGCTACATGAGACCCTATCTCCTACAGCAATAACAAACAAACAAAAAAAAGATAATAATGACCCTAATCCCCAGGGAATTTAACTTGAGGCCTCTAGGAACATTTTGGAGACACCAAAAAAGCAGTTAGAGAAGAAAACACACAGTGCTCTGTTTAGAACACAACCTATCTGGAGAAACATTCTTCTTAAACTAGTACCTAATGCTTGTCTCTTAATCAGTCTTACAGTGATACTGTAGCATGGATCTGAACACTCCTCACAGGGGCCCATGTGTTAAGCCTGTGGCACTATTGGGAAGCTGCAGCAACTTTAGGTCATGCCCAATGGGTAGACTTTAAGGCATCAGGGGTGGGCCCTCTCCATCTTCGGCACCCACAATTAGGTGAATAATTTGTGTTAGCATGTGCTCCCAGCCGCAATATTCAACCTCACTACAGGCCTGAAGCAACAGAGCCAACCAATCTCAAACGGAAACGTCTAAATCCATGGCCCCAAATAAACCTTTTCTCTCTACAAGTTGATTCACATGAGGCATTTGCTACAGTGACATAAAGATAACGCAGGTAGTATAAGAACAAGAGAATTACGCAAAAAATAAGCCAAAGAGCCACACAATTTTAAGGTATTACTCAAGAACTAAAAAGGAAACAACAGGTATCACCAATGATAAGAAGTCAAAGCCATCAGACAGTTCAGCATGAAGAGGTACCTGCTGCCAAGCCTGACAACCCAAGTCTGATCCCCAGAGCCAGCACAGTGGAAAGAGGAAAGTTGACTAGCATTAGTTTTCCTCTGGTGCCACAGGTACATCCGACCTCCACACACAGCCATGACGCTTGTGCCTCTTCCCCAAATAAAAATTTTAAAAGCTGCAGAGCAAAAGTAAGAGAGACCAAATCAGGTCATTTCTCCACTTAACTTATCAAATGTTTTGCAACAGGGAGCTCGATAGCGGGCTCAGTGGTTAGGAGCACTGGCTGCTCTTCCAGAGAACTCAAGCTTGCTCCCGAGCACCAACATGGTGGCTCATCACAATCTGTAACTCTACAGGAAACTCAAAGTCCTCTTCTGGGCACTTTGGGCACTAGGAATGTACATGGTCCACAGACATACATGAAAAACACCCATACACATAAAACAAGTAATAAAAATAATGTTCTGCAGGAGATAAACTGAAAACCATTTTCTGCATCTCTTAAGAAACACTTGCATTTCTTTGATAAGGATTTCTGAGCCAGACACAGTAGACAGGACTGTGATCTCAGCTCTTGGGGGGTAGAGGCATGAGGATCAGAAGTTCCAGGTTATCTTGAACTATGAAGTAAGTCTGAGGCCAGCCTGGAATAAGATTGTCTAACAACAAAATTAGTCAGGCCTACACAAACACACGAAGTATACTTTCCTTCCTCAAATTTTCACTATAAAAATTCACTTGGAGTTGGATACATAGCTCAGTGGCAGAGTACGTGTCCAGAATGCTTGAGGCCCAGGTTTCAACACCCACAATAATTTTAAAGGCTCATGTGAGGTAGTGGAAAGCCATTATTTAAACTGTCTTAAACAATGAGCTGTTAAGTTACAAGCTAATGAGGAATATGAAACTTGATGTCATAGCGAAGGTCACTGTTTTCTACAACTGACTGCTTTTCTTACATAGACAGTCACAGAAAAGCCACCTGGCCTTCTTCCTAAGACCAAACCCCAAAAGGAAGCCAGCAAAGAAAATAGTCAATAATAGAGCTTTTCATTGTGACCAGTCTATAAATCTTTTAAGGCTTTAAGTTTGCCTTGACATTAAAAAAACAACAACAACAACAAAAAAAAAACTACTTTTCTGGAGCAATATTTGCTTTCAGGAATGTGTTGTAGTTTTGACTCTGGAAAAACAATTTACTAGTTTTTAAAAATCATGATCACAAAATCATACTCATCTATTGCTAAATCTTTGAATGTTAGGAAGCCTCTACTTAGATGGGCTCTAGCTTTTCTAAGAATATTTTAGGATGTCTATTAACACAGTTGAGGGAGTATTTCCCCCAAAACCTGCCCACCAAAGCCTCATTCCTGCAATACCTCACATCCGCTGCAACCTCTCCATCTAGACCAGTGAATCCTCAAGAAGCACTTACACATCCCAGGAATCTTCCTTCCCTCCCACTGTGGCATTTTCAGAGTGTAGGACTTGAGCCTCCTCAACAATGCACAATTTAAGTGACAAGACCAGAATAGAGCAAAACTTTAGGTTTTATCACTTAAATTCTACTACTTTTACTATGGGCAATACTCAGCTCAAATTCTAGATGGAAATCTTTTTAGATAATAGAAAAATAAGCATATAAATGTAATAATATTCCATTTCTTTTTTTAAAAACTGAGCTCTAAAGATGGACGAGTTTCAATTTTTGTATAAAACGAATACCAACGGTACTAAGGCTGAAAAATTAAATGACAAAACAAATACATGATCATCATTCAAATTCTTTGGATTGTTTATGTCTAAGCCCCGACGTTTAATACAAAAACGTAAAATTTTCCTTTTCTATGTAAACATGCTGTACTTTAGAAACTGTAAATTTCCACAGCTGTCAGAACTGCAGAAAGAAAAGGTGAGGGCTGAAGACACAACGGTGGCACAGAGTCACAGGAACGAACCCTGCCAGGAAACACGTGTTTCTCTATCGTACAGAAACATTTTAGTATCTTCTAGTTCATCGGTTTTTCAACTAATCAAAAATGAGCCCTAAGACTTTCTAAAGGATGGGCCTCGATCGTGGGGTCTCCTTTATATTTAAGGCCAACACTGGTTTTAATTTCTATTGGAACAAGGGAACTTTCACCAGAGTCCTTAGGGAGGAAAAACTACCAAAGTTTTTCTAGTCCATACAGAACAATCAGAATGTCACAGAAGTTGCAGGAGATCCAGAACACACATTAGTCATATTTGATTCTCTCTATTAGGCGGTCCTCCCTGTAATGGGAAATAATCTGAATCAGTATGGAACAGTTGATCAGAAGAAAGAACAAACCAGCCAGCCAAATAAACAGGAAGGTGTTCTTTCCCTGAAACTCTAGAACGTACGCAGGGGTCAGCCACAAGGCCTGCCCGATAAACCACAACATTAAGAGGACTATGGCTCTTTTCCAAGGCATTCTCACTAGCGGCATCACCAGAGGCAGAAGGCAGAGGTACCAAAGGAAGTACTGAGAGGTGCACACTTTGTTAAAAGTCACAAAAATGGATGTATGGAGGAAACAGCAAAAGACAAGGTCTCTGTAGTAGGCGAAAGACACGGCCGAAAGCAAGATGAACTGGGGCAGGAACGCGGCGATCCCCAGGGTGAAGCTCCACTTGCTCTCCGCAGTCAGATACAGCATGTAGAAGTAGGGAGAAAAGTTGTGGCGGATGTCCCTCCTCGTCAGGTGATAGAAGTAGGTGTGCTCCAAAAACTCCCAACCGTATTTACAGTAAAAGCCGAAGCTCAGGGCGAAGAACGTGAGTCCCGCAACGGCTACAAAGAGCAGCACGGCCCAGCTACACAGCCTCCTGAGGAAGTCGTAGAGGCGAGCCTGGAAGCAGTAGCGGGCTTGCCGGAGACTGTCGTCGTTGTCGCGCTCGGGCCGCAGGTGGAGCGCTATGGGCAGGATGTAGGTGACGGGATACATCTTCATGTGCACCGCGAACCCGTAGAACACCGCGGCACACGCGATCAGCCGCTTCTCTATGAAGTACAGGGCCGCAAGCACCAGGGAGGCGACGATGGAGTCGGCGTTGCCTCGGCTCGACACCGCCATGGGCAGGGGGTTAAGCAGCCAGAAGACGCAGTAGCCGCAGGCCTGGCGGCGCCCCAGCCCCCGCAGCAGCAGCAGGCGGTACAGGAGGAAGGCGGTGAGCAGGTCGCAGCTGATGAAGAGGAACTTGCCGAAGAGTTCGCTGAGGTAGACGTTGGGAGTGAGGAGCCAGCTCAGCAGCGGGGTGTAGCGATACGTCGCCCGCAGGTACGGGGAGCGCCCTTCCGCGACGAAGCGCGCGGCGTCCGTGAACACGTGGTAGTCTATGTCGGTGTACCTCACCAGCAGGGTCCGGTCCTGGAAGACGCCGTAGAAAACCAGGGCGACCCGGGCCAGGAAGGCCACGCCGAACACGCCGGCGGGGGGCACCCGCAGGTTCAGGAACCATTCCCCCCAGTGCCTGCTGTAGCTCATGGTCCGACTGCGGGCCAGACGCCCGCCCGGCCCGCCCCGGATCCACGCTGCGCCCCCGCTCGCCCCCGCTCGCCCTCGCTCGCTCTCTAACCGTCCCCCAGGTCACCCCACTCGGCCTCCCGGAGCATCTCCTCCGCGGACTGCAAACACAAACACCCGAGGCAGGAGCACTTCCGGCGCCAAGCCCCGCCCCCACGCTCCTCCCTGCCTCGCGCGCTCCTCCGTTGCCCCCCCACCCTCTCCGCGGAACCATTACCTGCCTCGGGATTGGCTGCCTAGCTTCTGGTTGAGGCGGGATTTCCCGTCCCTCATTTCCGCTGCCCCGAAAGCCCGGAGTGGCTGAGGTGTCGTGGAGCCGAGCGAGCTTTGGTTTTCAGTCACCGGTGCTGCCGCGCTCCCAACGCGGGTCTAGCGAGGCGGACCCTCGGCGCACAGTGGGCTGCGACCTGTCGGCTACACTCCCTCAGAACCGGCTTGGAGGACTGAGAGTGAAAAATGTAGATGGGAAGGAAATAAACCTAAGATAGTTCTGGGGTTTTTATCCCTGATAGGAACGTTCCTCCTACCAGAAAACGTCTGTGTGGTCACCCCAGGAGTGCCGTCAACTCTTCTTTTCAAACATCCCTCACCTAAGTAAAATCTCTCCTTCACCCACCCCTTACCACCCTGCTACCATTAATTTTTTCTGTTTTTTTTTTTTTTTTTTTTACCAAGGACTCCAATTCCTTCATTCTTTTTTTCTGGTTACTTACTGCACTTATAGTCGGCTTTTAAGAACTTCATACTTCTAGAATATTTCCAGTTTCAACTAAATTGTAGGGTTCTTGGGAGTACACAGTATGCCCTTATTTCTTTGTACTTTCTTGTGTTACAGTCTCAGACACATGGTAACTGGCACAGGCTGACCGGCTTGATCTTACAGATTGAGCCTGCTCCTAGGGAAGTCTTGCAGATGAGACTAGCGGTGGCTCCACTCAGTCTGGACGTGCCTCTCTCATCCCACACTTCATGTTTGTCCTTTGAATGAGCCATCCTAACCTCATCTTCTAATATTTCTATTTTATATGCTTTGATGTCTAAGTATATGTTGTGGATTAATAACTACATCTAGTCATTTTTCACCATGGACTGGCCATATATACAGTGATATCTCGTTGCCATTCAAATAACAACCATTACGATTCATAATAGTTGTTTGTTACTGACTTATTTACAATTGTCAGACGTACTAGTTACTTTTTAATGTAAGTCGATATTCTTACCTTTTGCAAGGAGGAGAATCAGAGTTTATGTAGAGTACATAAGTCACACAGCCAACCAGTAACAGAGCTGGAACTGCAAGCAGGTCTACCTAAGCTAACATGCTTAACTGCAAGCAGGTCTCCCTAACCCAACATGCTTAATCAATGTGTGATGAGCTTGCAAATCAAAGGCTGATTTGGAATTCTGGTCTCTCTGTTTTGTCTTCTTAATCTCATCTTGAAATCTTCCTGATAGTCTCTCTCCCTGTTACTCTTTATATTCCTGGTTTGCTATTTTCCTTTGTGAGTTACAGGTAAGTGAGGTTTAGCTTCAGTAGAGACTATGAGAGAGATGCCTGAAGATTTAGTAAGAGTTCTTCTGGGTAGGTTGTTTTAGGTATTTTGACAGAAACGCCTCAGCTAATTATCCTCTACGGCTGGCCTAGTAAATAGGAGAAACGTCGTATTCAGGAAGATAAGGAAATACCTAATCAAAAGAAACAGCCTGTCCCTGGAGTCAAAGAGCAGAACTCTTGAACAGATATCACTCCCTGCCTTTAGTGTCCTACCCTGTGAAGTGTTTCCCACGGATTTTACATTTTAGGATATGTTAATTATCTATTTTATTAGCGTATGCTGAACGCTTCAGGCGCGGTTATGTTTGTCATGTACCATTTACTCCTCACAAGTATGTAAGGCCTACAGATTTGGGATCTGGTTATCTCGTATATCTTGTACATTTAATGTCTTATGATTCACTTGTCTATTAATGATGAAGGACCCAATTTCCCTCTCCCCTTTGTCCTTCCATCTTAAGGACCAAGAATCAGTGAGTATAATCTGTTGTTTCTTGTCAGAGTATCTGGGATTGGATATTGACCACAACTTTCTCAGGCTCATGCTAGGTAAGAATAGATGAAAAATCCATTACTTTGAGACCTAGGGACAGAAATGTCTCCTATTTAAAATGGACTTCCAGACCCTTGATGATGTGTAAGGAAAATCATCCACAAAGTGTTTCCTAGTGTGAAAAGAAAAGAAAAATGGACTCGAACATCACCATCTAAAAGGGACAGTGTCCCAGATCCAGACCAATTTGACTCCTGGAATTAGTAATACAAGTTTTCAGATTCCTGAATCTTAGTAAGTCTTGCCCTTTAAGAACTGGATTTTCAGCCAGACATTGGTGGAGTATGCCTTTAATCCCAGCACTCGGGAGGCAGAGACAGGCGGATCTCTGTGAGTTCCAGGCCAGCTTGGTCTACAGAGCAAGTTCCAGGACAGCCTCCAAAACAATACAGAGAAACCCTGTCTTGGGGAAAAAAAAAAAAAAGAACTTGATTTTCAGACTGGAGAAATGATTCAGTGTTTAAGATCACTGAGGACCCTGGTTCAATTCCTGGCATCCACATGACAGCTTACAATTGTCTGTAATCCTGGTTCCAGGGGATTCATGGCACCAGGCATGCGCATAAAATAAACATTAAAAAAAGAAGAACTGGATTTGCAAGCCATAAAGGGTAAAGGTGCTTGCTGCCAAGCCTGACAACCTGAGTTTGATTCCCCAGGCCCCATATGGGGGAAGGAGAGAGCTGACTCCAGAAAGTTGTTCTCTGATGTTCACAAGCCCTTGCACACCTACACACACACAACAATAAATAAACAAAAGGGTTTTTATTTAAAAACCTGAGCTTGGAAATTATTCGTTAAAGGCTGTTAATAAGGGAAAGAGCAAGAAAAGGGTTGGTAGGATTGGGGGACACTATTAACGAAACGTCTGAATGTAAGGGAAAGTCAGTAAGAAAGGCTGGCCTCATGATCAGAAGTTCTTCCAGCACAGCCCAATTGAGCCCTCCTCTCCCATAAGTCAGCCTGAGTTCAAACCGTAATAACAAGATAGCTTTCTGTTTCTAAAAGATACAGTGAGAACAAGAGACTCATCCAGTTTATTTAGTAGTTTCTTCTGAACAGACAAAAATAAACCAATAATTCCTCACACATCTTTTTTTCTAAATACGTTTGACCTGGTTTAGTCTTTAGTGCAGTGCATAGAAAATTCATCACTAGATACTTCTGTTTCAGTAGCATTGGCCAGCTAACTGTACAGTATAGGTAATGTGTTATTTTGCAAAGAAAATAAGTTAGCTATCAGGGGTAAAGGTTCATGGTAGCAGCCGTGGAGAAAGTGCAATGTCCCTGGCCGGTAGCTACGTTATGACTGCTTTTCTTTCTCTGCTGACCTCAGGGAAACCCCTGCATAGTTTTACCAGCTGAAGTGGGTTTCAGAAAGTGGGTGGGGCAGTAGGGAGCAGCAAGAATTAAGTGGAACACAGCTTAGGGGTTTCAGAGGCCTCCCATAGAATTGTATCATCCTTTAGGGAAGATGAAAACCACATTCTGCATAGAAGAGCCTCCAAGCCCAAGTATCCCATCTGCCTCCCCGCCAGGACTGGAACCCTCTTTAGGATTTTTGTGCACAGGCTCAGGCCTGTCTTGGGAGCATCTTGAGCTCAACAACTCATCAGTCCTGGAGTTTGTATTATAGCAGTACGGTTTCCACTTAATGCCTCCCAAATACCAACTTTTCAGCTTCTCGGTTTTCAGTTATGGGGCCTAGAGCTCCTACATTGGTGGAAGAATAGGAAATGCAGAGCTGTACTTCAGGAGAGGAAAAGGGTGCTTTTGTTTGCTTGCTTGTTTGTTGCCAGGGATAGGTAGAGCAGAGTATGAGTGGTAGATTTTCCTAGATCTCCGTGGACAGAGAGCATTTCCTTGGCCCATTTCTTCTGGCTGCTCTCTTGTCCAATCAGCACAGGTTCCTCAACCTTGATGGGTGCTCCTTTATTTGTGAAAAAGACAGGGTCTAGCCCTCCCTTTTCCATCAACCAAACTTAAAACCATCAACTGCCCTCAGCACTCTGCCGAACATAACACAGAAAATCCAGGTAGCCTACTCCATAAAACCAAGACAAGGTATTTGTCCCTTTTCTGAAGTCTTGAGCACTTCCTTCCTGTACATTCCACATATTTGGATATATGTACATCTATATACATATCTCTCTATATATTATCTCTGTTTTTCCTTAGATAAACATATATATCATATCCCAGTTTCCCAAGTTTCCACCCACCTCTTCTGTGTCAGCCATAAGACTCTGGGTTGCATTTCACTAGACCCCTTCACCTCATCTTTCTCATCTTCACACTCTAGATTTCCTTCGCCACTGGTTGTTTTGCCCACCTGAGATCTCCCACCCCACTTAAAATCCTGACGTTACAAGCCTCTAGCTGGTACAGATAGGGAACCCGTTTCTCATCAGGACCGGCTGCTAGTAAAGCTTGTCCCATATCCTGAAATAGGATTCCAGGTCAGGCGAGCCAGGCTGTGATCTGAAGAACCACTTAGGATTGGGAGTGGGAGTTGTTCCATGCAGAACACTGGGCTTCTGGGAGAAGGGTGCCATTCTGAATTAACAGGACGGAATGATTTTTAAAGTGCAACTTACAGGGAAGCCTGGGATTGCAGAGGAAGTTCAAAAAGTGGTAAGGCAGAAAATGTTCTCTTCTCACATTATTATCCAAGAATCTGAGGAGCATTGGGCCTTAGGTAAGGGACTGGGGACAGAGTAATTCCTTCAGGAGGGAAGCAGCAATGTGCAGAAGAAACCAGACAGGGGAACAATTACCAGTGAATAAGAAGATACACACACGGTGGGACACAGTCCTTGCACACCGAACGCCACCGGGCAGGCACAGCTTTGAGTATATTTGAAAGCACAGACGCTGGCTTTTTGCCTGGGACTCTATTTCAGACGTTCAGGTTCTTCTGGTTCCTGTTCTGATTCGAGTTTAAGGATAATGGTGGGTTTTACAGTAGGGAGGGGTTGAGCGCTCTTCGTTTCGAGCT